GACTAGAAGTCGACTTATAAAAGTCAACTTTCCGTTGACTTTTATAAATCGACTATTTAGAAGTCGACTTTTAGTCGACTTTCCGCCATTTTTAGAAGTCGCCTATTTAGAAGTCGACTTTTAGTCGACTTTCTGCCATTTTTAGAAGCCGACTAGAAGTCGACTTATAAAAGTCGACTTACCGTCGACTTTCCGTCAACTGTGCTCTTAGGGTTTAATTAAAATTATCTGGGTGACTCACAAACCTTTTTAATCACACTTCATAACTCTTCATACAAAATACAAACAATTCCGTATAAAAACTTTTATTAATTTATCTATTTCGGCTAAATGCATGGTGTAAAAATAATTAATTAACTACAATTAAACGAATGACTCACAAACCTTTTCAATTGCACTTCAAAAGTCTTCATACGAAATACAAACGATTTCATATGGTAGATTCTTTCCCGGACATTCATTTCCGGTCAAATACATATACGAATATCGAAAACGCTATTATGTATGTAGATTGAAAATTCAGAAGTCATAGGCAGTATGCAGACACCATAGCGCATGCGCATATGGCTTCTGCATTCGTGCTCATGGCTCCTGCAATTTTATGTGCTTCCACCTTTAGGGCCAATTTCACCAACCACAGTTAAGGCCGTTGCACGTAACAAAGTTTTTAGTCATAATCGTAAGGCCGTAAGAAAATAAACCAATCACAGTCGATTATTCTTCGAGCTCAAGGAAAATAATCGAGTGTGATTGGTCTATTTTCTTACGGCCTTACGATTATGACTTAAAACTTTGTTACGTGCAATGACCTTTAGCTTAACCGATGGTTAAAGTTAGCAAAATTGACCTATGAATGCACCTATGCAAGTTTGTCTGGATAGACCTTAAAGGTACGTGGAAGCACATAAAATTGCAGGAGCCATGAGCACGAATCCAGAAGTCATATGCGCATGCGCTATGGTGTCTGCATACTGCCCATGGCTTCTGAATTTTCAATCTACATAAAAATACATAAGCATAGTTTATGTAGATTGAAAATTCAGAAGCCACAGACCGCCGTAGAGTTAGCAGACAAATTGAATATTTTGGAATTATTTTTTTTCATATAATTTGGGAATCATTTGGGAAAGTTTGGGAAAATTGTTTAAACATTTGGGAAAGAATAGATTGTTTGTTATTAACAATATTTATCGAGCGTCAAGTTAGCAGATAGCGACTATGTTTAATGTTTATTATAAATGGAATTGATTGGAAATCATTTGGGGATGACATCTTCATTGTAATTTTTATTTGGGAAAAGTCGCTTTTTTTGTAATTTAAATAAATCTTTGTATTAAATGTTCTTTTACGCTGCACTTCTGCACTAGTACAACAAGTGAACTTACTGCACTAGTTCAGAAGTGTAGCGAAAAAGAACAGACCGTTATCGGCAGTAGTGTGAAAATTACATATTTTTCGGAGGAGCTGAGGAGTAGCGAGTTGCTTACGTCGAGACCGTCGAGTAGATCTCGACATGACAATATACTCCGAAAAGAAAATTTGTAGATGTTATTTTCTTCATATATACTTCATATATACATTATTTATATCTTATAAACAGAGTAACTCCTTTATTTCCTTTTCCATAATCGTGGTACACTGACTCGCATGAGTCGGAAATACATTCGGTTGAAAGAAGAATTCCTTTTCCGTGACGCGGTTACATTTATCATTAATAATAAGAATCTATCTTCTTTTCTCGTTGTTTCAGTGTATCTTATTTGAAACAAACGTGCGAGCAAGCGAGAGTGTGAATGAATATATGAAAAGTAAAATAAAAAAGAAACAAAATGTACGAGAAAATGAGAATAACGAGCATTAAGATGCCTTTTCACGTTAACGCTCGACGCTCATTTTCAGCAAGTAAAAATCTTCAGAAATAATATATTTTATTTATATATGTATCCATAAAATATTATTGATTGTACTAGGACGATTAACGACGATTCAGCGACGACGCTGAATATTAAACAAATTCAACTTCATTTCTTTGACGCTAGCGTCAAAGCGAAACCACCACGTTCACCTTGTTGACGCTCATTTTCAGCGTCTCATGAATTAGCACCTTAAGTCAGTGTACCACGATTATGGAAAAGGAAATAAAGGAATTACTGATCTGTTTATAAGATATAAATAATATATATATGAAGTATATATGAAGAAAATAACATCTACAAATTTTCTTTTCGGAGTATATTGTCATGTCGAGGTCTACTCGACGGTCTCGACGTAAGCAACTCGCTGCTCCTCAGCTCCTCCAAAAAATATGTAATTTTCACACTACTGCCGATAACGGTCTGTTCTTTTTCGCTACACTTCTGAACTAATGCAGTAAGTTCACTTGTTGTACTAGTGCAGAAGTGCAGCAAAAAAGAACATTTAATATAAAGATTTATTTAAATTACAAAAAAAACGACTTTTCCCAAATAAAAATTACAATGAAGGTGTCATCCCCAAATGATTTCCAATCGATTCCATTTATAATAAACATTAAACATAGTCGCTATCTGCTAACTTGACGCTCGATAAATATTGTTAATAACATAAAATCTATTCTTTCCCAAATGTTTAAACAATTTTCCCAAACTTTCCCAAATGATTCCCAAATTATATGAAAAAAAATAATTCCAAAATATTCAATTTGTCTGCTAACTCTACGGCGGTAAGCCACAGCCATGGGCAGAATACAGGCAGATATCATAGCACATGCGCATATGGCTTCTGCGTTTTGCTTGTGGCTCCTGCAATTTTATGTGCTTCCACCTTTCTATCCAGACAAACTTGCATAGGTGCATAACCATATGCATAAAGAAACGGATTGGTCTATTTCCTTATGCACATGCATATGGACCACAGTATGGACCAATCAATTCTCTTATGCTTATGTTTATGGGCTTATGCTTAAGTTATGGGCTTAAGTTTGTGTGGATATAGCTTTAGTCTGGGC